GGTAAGCCACTTCTTTGGAAAGTTAGAGAAGGAAAAGTGTAAAAAGGAGAGTATTCACAGCTTTCCTGCTTGGATGCATTCTCAGGCACATACGGTTTTAGGAAGTGGTGTTTATGGAAGTAGAGTGTCTGGAAATTGATTCTTTAGGAAAATTCATTGTACTCTTAACAATATGCAACTTCCTTTAAACTGCTGCTCTGGAGGGAGGAGGCTGCAGGGGGCCCAGCGGGACTTCTAAAAGTGAGCCTATTTTAGGCCGATGTTTTTCCTAAATCATGCAGGTGAGACGCCATTCCCAAGGCACAAGCTTCACATACGTGCTTTCACATCAGAATCGTAGAACGTGTTCTCTGTGTTGTCATATTCTTTCAATATTTCTGTGCAATGTTCACTGATATAAAAGCCCGTAGCTTCCCATAGGTGGTTTTCCTCATAGATGAAACCCCTGTCAATTACTGAACGTACATTTTGTAACAGGGTGGTGCCCAGGAAAAGGGGAGGTTCCAAGTTCCCTGCCCAGCAAAGGAGGTGGGGCTGAGCAGGGAGGAGAAGAAGCTGGAGAGGAGACTGGGGAAGGAAGGAAGCAGGATGGGGAGCAGGGAGGAGACCTAGTGGAGGCACAAGGAGCAGAGACGTGAGAAAAGCTGTGCTTGCTTCTTGGTCCTGGCCTGGTTGAAACAGATGTGGGTGAGAGACCCATGGGGAGGTTCACATGGCAGCTTTTATCTTGGTCTGGATTTTGCTCTTTTCCTCCCAGACTTGTCTGGCTGTTTCTGACCCTTTTCTATGGGTCCCCCTAGGAGGTGCTTTAGACATGTGACAGGCTTTCCGGTCTTGCTCTGGAAATCCTGTGTGGGTGGACTTTTACCCATGAGGGGGTGGGTAACTTTTGGATGCTTGATTTGGAAACTATATGCTTTGTCTTTTCTGTATTGTTCACTAATTGTGTTAAAGTTCCTTTCTATTAAAGGTTTTATGTTTTGTCTTGATGCAGCAGATGGCAGAACCTATTTAGAGTAGACAGGTTTGGGGTTCTGGGGTGCCCCTCTCCCTGCCCTGTACCAATTTCATATGCTAAAAATAGAAGGGAAAAAAACCAATAAAATGGTGTCCTTCATGTTGGATGGCCACCTAGACTTAATATCAGTTGTAGTTTCAACCTCAACTAAGCCTAGCAATCTGGAGACTCCTAATGAACATCGTGAGGTAATGGTCACACATGAGCCCCTTGCCTTCCAAGGGAAGGTGGCTTTACCTGAAATAAACTTTCCTTAAGCTAACCACCTTGCTCCACCCTCTTTGTGTCTATATATACCCTCCATTCTGTGTAAGCCTTGTGATACCTAGATTAGGTACAGCCCGATTCATGCATTGCTTAAAAAGACCCAATAGATCTGTTTTTAATTTTATTTTTGACTCTTATTTGTTCTTCTTTTCTCAAATCTAGTTTAATTCACTTTAATTCGGGTGTACTTTTCATGATAAAATTAACTACAGCAACATTTATCATTTTATCATTAACATTTTATCATTTTCATGATAAATTAATACAGCAAATCCCACACAGGATTTGCCCAGAGCAAGACCGGAGAGCTTGTCACACGTCTAAAGCACCTCCTGGGGGGACCCATAGAAAACAGCCAGACAAGTCTGGGAGGAAAAGAGAAGTGGAGCTCTCTTGACTTTATCTGCCAAAGACTATGCTATTGCCCAATACATTGTCATTTTTAAATATGAGAAATTATCCATTCCCCATAAATGATCAGCCTTGTTGATAAGCTGAAATATTACCAAAACATTATAGTAATCCTTCTCAATAACTAATGAAACTTGGCTTCTAAATCAACCATTTAAGATAAAAGCAAGAGGGCCTCCCCTGGTGGCGCAGTGGTTGAGCACTGGGCTGTGAAGCTTCCTGCAGCCTCTGCAGCGCCGGTTCAATCCCCGGCTGCCGGCGAGGGTCCCACTTGGTGTGCAGACCTCTCCTGCCGCGCATGCTGCTCCCCTTAGCAGTGTATTTCGTCAAGTCTGCCTGTTCTGTTCCCCGCTCTGGCTCTGGTGAATTCTCTCACCCTCCCACATCTCTGACTACCCAGTGCTTATATAAACAAAATATAAATAAATCTTTAAAAAAAACTATTATGATGAAAACAAGAAAGCAGTCTGTAATACACTGGTTTACCACAAGGGTAGCACATTGGGCAAATTAAGTCACAGAGACCTAATGAGAAAATGTAAGATAAAGGATCCCTCCTGCCACAGGTTACCACCTATTGCTTTTCTCTTCAGCACCATCACCCCTTTATGTCTTGATATAAACTGAAAACTAAATCTGGAGATCTTTAATAATTTTCTTGCAGATAATCTTTTATTATCTATCCATCAACAAAAAAAGTATTTTATTTGTATTGCCTTATATCTAATCAGAGGGAAATGATGGGTCTGTATGAGACAGATGTATTCAGTTTGCTTGTTTGGTGTATTATAAGAAATTTTCCACAATTTACTGATCTAGTAGGCTTTTAAGCAGTGATTCATGAATTGGCAGCAGCCAATCTAGCAGATAGACAGAAGCTCCAGATAGTACAAGGAGATTTTTATAAACCAAAGGGAGCAGGAACAGGGAAGTTATTCTGGGCATTTGCTGATTGTCTATGCAGGGTTATTCTCCTTCCATGCAGCAAAGGGAGGTCTTGGAGCAGGGCCAGGTGACTAGTACTGAGCAGACACACACACTGATTTGTTGACCTAGGTCTTTTTTGAGAGAGCTGAGTGTAGGAAGAGTTAAGTTTTGGTTTGCTGACATGGGGCTTAGCATAAGTGACTCCATTTGTGGAGTGATCTGGTTATTTTAATAGGTGTTTGTGAGTGAATCAGAATATAAAGTTTATGCATTTAGAGCACATGCTCTTGAATGTCTTTGCTTGCTCAGAATTTGTGTATCTGCATACAACACTATTTTCCTGGAAAGTTTTCTCTCCTCCTCCCCCGTGGAAATCCTGGCAATCTTATGAATCCTATTCAAATATAATTACTTCTGCAATCACTCCGTGATAATAATGCTATCTCCTTTTATATTTGTAATTAATCATAACCTCTTCTGTGTTCTC